TGTTAATCTATAAGCAATGACAGATCTAGTCCCCTCGGTGCTGTTGTCGTCAACCAGTAAAGTCCTGCTGTAGTCCTTCTTGTCAATGGCGGCCGCAAGGAGTGCCTTGTTTTCATCACAAGCCTCCGCTATCGGCTTGGAGAGCTTCTTACGCTGGGCAGCAAGGGCCCGAGCTGACAATCCTTGAGTTGAAGGAGGAGGCGGTAGACGATGAAGGTGATTGGGCGGACTCATCCTGAGTTTTCGATTGGCTTCGATGAACCGATCGAGAGTAAAGGAATTCCAAAGGGTTTCCCCTCTAAGGATTGTCTTGAAGAAATTGACGAATTCCTCAGTTGGGAGAATTGGAGCAATGAAGGCTGCAAAAACAAAACAACAAGTTTGATTAGCGAAATAATAGGATGATTGGGAAAGTGTCTGTGACCTATTTTCTACCAGGCTTTGCGGACCACTTCGATGGAAGTACATCGGAAAGACTTCCAATCGAAGCGGGAGTTTTCTTAATCAGAAACCAAGGATGGTGCCAGCTTTCATCCTTGTTCGGGAGATGCGAAATGATGTTCCTATTAGCATTCGGGTACGCCGAAAAGTACCCCGCCTTCTTCGATGAACTTCTCACACTTAGAAGTTCATTCAGCTCGGGAACCCCAATAATGTAGCCAGCTTCCGCCGCAACGGTTATGATTCCAAGGATGGTTCGGAGGAGATTGGGGGTTAGCTGAGGCAAAGCGATCTCAAGGGCCGCCAGGTACCGAACTAGGGCTTCGGGAAGAGGGAAGGTCAATCCACAGCCCTTGAAGTAGATTTCGTAAACACAGAAGTAGCCGTCGCGGTGGTTCTCCGGAGATTCCGTAGGATCGACTATTTGAGATTCTGCTATAATTCCAGGGGGAATCTGGCAAAGCCCCTTTAATCTTTCTAGGGATTGAAGAGTACAGGTGGATCTATAATGCGGACCAGCGATATCGTTAGGACGAGTGCATTCGTCGTTGCTAGGACGTCTCTCGTCGTAAGACGGAGACTCGGGTCTGTCGGAATCAGAAGTCATCGGGAATGGAAAATTCAAGTTTCAAGGAGAAGAAAACTCGGCGAAGGAGACAGAGAAACTTAGCAAGAAAAGCAAAGAAATTTTTTATCAAAAGATGAGAGTGAAAAAGAGGTTACCTCACGCAAAGCTAAGTGGTAATGATGGAACCGCCTCGGAAGACGTGGAGGAAGTGGAAAGGTTTTCCCCGTTTTAATAGTAAATAATTAAGAGACGGTCGTGATGGTGACAGATGTCACGCGATCAAATACGGGAAACGACGAAATTAAAGGACTGACAAGATCTTGGCGGGAAAATCAGAAGATCCCTCAAGCGCAATCTTTGGTCATTAAAGCATTAAAATCCTCCGAACTGGAATAAGCACTTCGAAGGACTTGGGGGGCTAATTGTTGGTGTCGGATCCCGCACCAGCAGACCGGGACCAACCAAAGATTGCCATGTAATCAGGATAAAGGCCCACAGAGGATAAGGCCCATTAGGCCCATGGTTTACAGGGTATAATCGAAGTGGGCGTCACCATAAAGAGAGCCCGGAGTGGTCACACCTCGGGATATGACTCGGAATCGAAGTCGGATAACTTGGGCCAAAAGGCAAAGCCCATGAAGGTCGGAATCAATTCAAATTCAAACGTTGGGCATTAAAACTCGAAGACCAAAACGGACACATTTAAGAGAGAATAATTGTGTTTAATTGAGAGTTAAATGTCGTTTGCCAATATAAATAAGAGGGCTAATAGCCATGTAAAGGATACGCAATTTTTCTAGCAAATACACTATAGTCATTCCTATTGCAATTCATAGCTTTTTTCATCATATTTTTGTCCTCAAGAATAATCATTCCCACTAATTAAACAAATATTCAAGTGTGCGAATCCGACATCCACAGAGATCACTGTGTCTGCTGCCTTGCGTGAGGAGCTGTTTTGTCCGGAGGTCCTTTATACGAACAGTATTAGCATCAAATTTGTCAGAGCATGGGTAATCAGTTGTTAACTTGGAAACAGACAAGAGGAATTTAGTTATATCAGGACAAACCAAAACATCCTTTAATGGTAACTTACCTTGCAGAACAGTAGAACCAACATGAGTTATTGGCAAGAAGTCCCCATTGCCAACTATAACATTCTCTTCTCCTGCATATGGTTGAGCAGTCTGGAGAGAAGCTGCAGAATTGGGGATATGTGCAGTAGCACCAGAGTCGGTGACCCACGGATGTCCTGGAACTTCTCCTTCATCAGAGAGACGCATAGCAGTTAAAGCTTGAGCAAGTTCACTGTTGTAGTAGTCCTCCTCAAACCGATGATAGCACTTAAACGCAGAATGACCAAATTTCCCACATATCTGACAAGTAGGGCGATTGGTAGACTGAGATCCAGAGCTGAACTGTTGTTGGAAACCTCTGCCACGTGTGGAATAAGAACCACGACCTCTGTATCCACCCCGATTCTGACCACGGCCTCTGTTGGAGTAACCACCTCTGTTGTTGTAGCCTCCTCTGTTGTTGTTGTAGTTGTTGTCATAAGACTGAGAGTAGTCAGTTGTCTGAGAGTTAAAAGCGAGATGAAGAGTGACCCCAACAGATGATTCATATCCCAGAATCTTGTCTTCAAAATTTATAAGCTTAAACACCACATCTTCAAAACATGGTCTAGGGTAGGTTTCCATGGATTCTTCAATAACAGTAGTTATAGACTCATATTCTTTGCCTAAACCACTTAAAGCACCAAATATTTTCTCATGTTCAGTAATAGGAGAACCAATAGAGTCCAACTGATCGCATAGAGATTTGATTTCAACTAGATACAAAGACATGGTTTTTCCTAGTTTAGTTGTGCTCTGGATCTTCCTTTGTAGATCTAGTTTTCGAGTAGCAGACACACGATTATATTTTTTAGCAAGAGCCAGCCATACCTCATGAGAAGATCTGAGACCGTAAGCAGTTTTGAGAGCACCCTCCGAGAGAGATCCAAACAACCAGGCCATAACAAGTTGGTCTGACTGCATCCACTTCACAAATGCAGGGTTGCTCGTCTCCGAAACCAGATCTCCATTTCGGACGTTAAGAGTTGGCGGAGGTCGCGGGATTCCTCCATTAACAAAACCAAGAAGCATCTGACTAGACAAAAATTGCTCAAACTGGAGTTTCCAGAGTAAATAGTTTGTCTCGTTGAGTTTCAAGGTAACACATTGTGAGATAGTAACTGTGGGAGCGGAAAAGGTTTCAGAAGAGCCTTCCATGGCTCTGATACCATGAAAGCTTAAACAAAGCTTAAGAAAACTTGGAGAGAAAGAACTTTACTTTTTGGATATTTTCAACTCAACTCTTTACAATTGCAGTCTTTGGTATATAAGAAAAGAGTAAAACCCTAAACCCTTAAGTCTCAACGACATGTGTCCTCAGCTTAAACGACAGGTGTCCTCAGCTTAAACAAGACGCCAGATCCAAGAATGTTGAATTGATTGGATAATTTTCGTTCTGCTGTGAGCACACTTTTAATGTGTGTTGGAGTTTTTGGCGCCATCTGCTGTGAGAGAGAAACGGGTTTCGTGGACTCCTTTTCTGGTTGGACTTTGGATGGCCCAGCTGTGGTTTTGTCTTTTAAAGCCAAAACCTTTGAAACAAGAAGAGGATTCTTCTTCTCTTCAATACGTGGATGTGTTAGTTTGTGCAAAAATTAGCTTTTCAATACTTCCACAACAAGAATCTTCTACGTATCCACCAACGTGGATGCGTTAGTTTGTGCAAAAATTGGCTTTTCAACACTTCTACAACAAGAATCTGTTAAATTAATATTTGAACTTTACTACTATCCTAAAACAAACCTTAAATAATAAAAACCAAAAAGGAAAAAAAAAACCATTGTATACAAAACCCATGGACTTAAAAATTCACTAATGTGATGGGAAAATGGTCATTTAATTCCCCTACTATTTGAAATTGACACTTTTATTCCCGAACTTTGCTGTGAACAAATTAATTCCTCAATGTGTAGTTGACTGGGCACTTTTGGACAAATAAAAAGTCAACGTTAATTAGTTAACAGTGACGTTAAAAGCTCGATTAAAAACTTCATCAGACCAAAAAATCCCAAATTATTCTTCTTCTTCCCCCAAATTCAAACCTAGGGTTCTTAGACCATATTTAACGGGAGAACACATAAGATGGTCTAAGGGTTAAAAAAATTGTAAATAATGTGAATAGTGTGTTAGAACACTGGGGAGAGATCTTCCGCAAGATCAGGTCTTAGAGTGATCTTGCTCCACGTGGTAAACCCTGAGTGGAAGGGTTTCATTTTTCAGAAAATTTCAGTTTTGGCAACTAGAGTTTGCGTCTCTTTCTTTCTCCATGTGGGACCACTTCTAATATTATTTTAATAATTTAATTTCTTAAGATCAAACTTCAAAGATTGTCCGTTGCATATGCCCTTAGGCGATTTTAAAAACGACAACCCAGAAATTGAAGTCAATTGTGAACGATTCCCGACATCACGAAGCTATGAAGAACACAAAGAACAAGAAGACGGCATGTATGAGGAGGTTGTAGACATGTTACAAAGAGAGTCCGAGATTGAGAATGAGAAGATAAAAGTGGGTGAGATGAAAGATATGGTCCTAAATTTGAAAGATGAGATCGGATGGTGTAAAAGTGAAGTACGCAAAGCCAAAATGAAAAACATGGTGCTTATTTGTTTCTGTGGTTTGGCTACTATGATGATCATTTACTACTTGATGTTTCACAAGGGTGGAGGAAACAACTTTGTATTTGGTCAATAACTGTAAAACATATCTCATTATCAAATTTTATGTAATGGAAGACTTATTGTAAGACATATCTCAAAATCAGATTTTATGTAATGTAAGACTAATTTGGTTTTAGTTTTGTGTCATTTTGGTTCAATTATGTTGTTACAGTCTCTTGAATCGACCTCTTAACATCTCCTTTGGTTCAATTTTGTTGTCTTTTTGGTTCTATATTGGAATGAAACGATGAGAAAAAATGGTCCAAAACAAAAGTGTATTTGTCTTACAGAACAATGTTAAAATAACAGAACAAGCATGATGAAGTCTTACACAAACACATAAACAGAGGCTTAAACAGAAGCTACATGGACTAAAAAGAGAACCCAAATCGTCCTTGTGATGATCCACCTTGTGAAGCTCTTACTTGAGAAGAGCCTCCTTGTGATGATCCAGCTTGAGAAAATCCCTCTTGAGAAGCTCTAACATGAGATGAATCTCCCTCAAATCAAACAAACCATTAGACCACCAAGCAATTAAGCAAACCATTACACCACCAAACAATTAATCAAATCGTTAGTACACCAAGAAAACTACTTACATAAATAACATGTTCTTTTCTTGGACGACCTCTTGGTCGTGTTGCTTGAGGAGGGGCAGTTGGATTAGGACACCTACTCTTATTATGTCCTTCTTTTTTGCAGTTTGAACATGTTACAATACGACCATGGCGAGTTAACTTGTACTTATTAGATGCAGACTCATGAGGAGACTTTCTCCTAGCACGATCATGTGGTCTTCCTCTATTGAATCTAGCTGGGGGTGGCAGAACATGTAACCTTCCCAACCGTGGCCACAGATTCATCCCTTGGACTGGTTTAATTCCTTTCTCGTACAATGAACGCCATCTTGAGGTCAAATAATAATCAGACACATAATCATTAAGATTTAACTTTGTGGTGTTGATGACACACATCGCATGCATACAAGGTATGCCATTCAATTGCCAATAGCCACAACCACAAGTTTTCTTTTCCATATCGACACTAAAAATATCATCTCCACATTCAATCTCATGCAAGCAACCTGTGGTCATGTACCTTTTCAAGTCCTTTGCTTTTTGCCTATTTAGTTCAATCTCTCTGTCTGCTCTTGGTGTGAACCTCTTCTTCCACCTGTTAGTTATAATTGTTCTCTTGGCATTCCTCTCCATGCATTTCCTCCTCACTTCTGTTAGAAAATCAAGTAATGGCTTCCTTCTTGATTCTCTAACATTCCTATTGAAAGACTCTGAGAGATTATTCAGATTATCATTGCAACAAGATCCAAGTTTGAAGAAAGCCCGAGACCATGTTGTTGGTGCAGTGCATTGTAGTGTGTCATAAGCAGCTTGGTTGTACATCTTCAATACTTCTAAGTTAGTCGCAAATGATGCCGTAGTGTAACTCCTTCCTATTTTCCAGAACATACGCTCAAGCTCAATATCTTTATGTGTCTTCTTCCAGTTTTCCAAAATGTGTCTAGCACACAATCTATGTTCAGCTTTTGGCAGCTCATCACGAACTGCATTTAGCAAACCCTGTTACCACAAATAAACCTTATTAGAAATCTGACAATTAACTTACCTAACATCTAAATGACAAATTGAGAACAAGAAACTTACATGATGCTTATCTGAAATGATTGTAATGTCAGCTCCATCTCCAAGGCTCAAATCTTTTTTCAGTAATTGTACAAACCACATCCAATTATTAATATCCTCTACCTCTACCACAGCCCAAGCAATTGGAAATATCCTGTTATCACCATCTCTACCAACTGCAGCTAACATACATAGAGACGGTAAAATCTTTGTAAGCCACCAGGAATTGGCCCATGAATCGTCTCAACCTCCATCGTTGAACCATGATTAGAGGTACGTATCTCTTCTTGATAATCCCATATTCTAGCAAAATGGGATTCATGGCTGGCCCTTCTCTTTTTTCTTAGCAACTTCTTCGCTCTCAGACATTGATGCACACTAACTATCATATTATACTCTCTCTTGATTTCATCTACCATCTCCTGCGATTTTATCTTTGGATTGAGTCGTAGTCTTTCTTCATACAACTGAGAAATAGTTCCGCTCTTTAACAGCTTTGTGTAACCAGATCTTACACAAACATGCTCATTCCGGAATGTCTTTATTACAAGCTTGCTTTTACTCTTCTCAAAAGAACAATACACCATCCATGGACACTTTTCTTTGATGTGTTGTGTGCACTTTGCCCCAAGTCTATCAGATGATGACTTAAACATTTTGATATCATATTTGGTTTTAAGAGAATACCTAAGGAGTGCATACTTGAATTCATCTGCATTGTTGAATGTCTTATGCAATGCTAATAGATCATCAGGTTGAACTCCATCATTGAATGGTCTCTCAGCTTCCTCTTGGTCATCGTCGGATAATGGATCACGGATCTTGTCGTCGTCCCAAATGTCGTCTCCGCTGTCATCAGAATTTTCACCAGTTGCTTCTTCACACGCATCATGCCCAAAATGGTCTTCTAAATTGTTGCAGATTTCAACATCGATGAGACCATCATCTTCTTCCTCTTCATTTCCAGCCAAACATGGTTCCACCTCTGTATATCCTCTGCTATCTTCCACGATAACTGGACAGTCATCTCCATCAACACTAGAATCATGAGATTCGGCTCCTTCGTCTTCAACTTCGTCTCTCTCCTCTGTGATTTCGGGTTCGATTTGGGCATCACGTTCAATTCGATTTTGAAGCTTCCTCTTTCTTTTTTTTTCTTTTTTTTTTTTTTTTTTTTTTTAATTACTTTTTTATATATATTAAATTCATCCCAAACTGGGCTTTGGCTTTTGGGCCAGCGAAATTACACGGGTACAAAATAGGAAAAGCCCAAATCGAAGATTGACGGAAAAAGAAGATCTGATCCGGACGGTACACCGGAAAACACGAAATCTAACCTAGAAGACCGACGCTAACAAGGACGACTCCATAGCAACAGAGTATCCGACGACAAGCAATCAGCCGGAGTTAGCGGTTCTTGCCTCAAGCCATCGCCGGAAACACGCCACAACCTGAACATTCCTCTCGGAAAGGTAGATCTGCCACAACCGGGACCTCTCCTCTCTTCTCCCCTACCTAGCAAGAAGAGAGAACACAAACCTAACCCTTACCTCCTCCGTCAAGCACCCTCGAACCAACCCGAGCAAACCGAACTTCAGATCCGGCGAAGAGAAAGCCAAACACGGCGGCGGCAGATGGAAGAGGCTCAAACTATCCACAAACCACACAGATCCGGCCAAAGAAACCCGCATCTAGCCATCTAAGATCCTGCCAAAGATCTACCGTTAATCTCTTCGCAAAGTGATGAAACCCACCAATCCAAAGCCCAACTTCCGCCGCAAGCCAGAGCTACATCTCTGAAGCCACCGAGCCGAGAGAGACAGTCCCAGAACCGCCAGCGTCCTTGACCAGCAGAACGCAGGAACCGCACCTCCAAGCAGCCGAGAAGAAGAGCCACCAACTTGCATCGAGCAGAGGATCCAACCACACCACACATCACCGGAGAAGAAGGCGCCCACCACCGCTTCAAACCCTGACCCAGCCACCGGCGATGAAGAACATAAAGCTACGGCGGCTGCGACTCGAGAAAACCCTAGATCTAAAACAGAGGAGAGAGAAGAGAGAAAAGGAAAGGAACGATTGTCCAAAAGGAAAGGAAAGGAACGACGTAAAATTTTTAATAGCTCACTATGACATATCAGCTTCCTCTTTCTTTTAGTCATGATAGTAGCTTTGTGTTGTCGGGAATCACTCTCAATTGAACTCAATTTCTGGGTTCGTCGTTTTCAAAATCGCTTAAGAACCCTAGGTTTTAATTTGGGGGAAGAAGAAGAATAATTGGAAATTTTTAGGGCTGATGAGATTTTTAATCGAGCTGTTAACGTTGCTGTTAACTAATTAACGTTGACTTTTTCTTTGTCCAAAAGTGCCCAGTCAACTACACATTGAGGAATTAAATTATTCACATGAAAATTCAGGAATAAAAGTGTCAATTGTTATAAATTGGATAATTATTATTATGATTATCCATATTTCTACTTAACCCTTAAGTCTCTTTGCCCCCAAGTAACTTGGCCTCCAAGCCACATCTTCTCCAAGTAAACGTCTCTATAAATATGTGTTGCTTTGTTGTAATAATGGGTAAAAAAGAGAATCGTTTCTATTCACGTCTCCTCTCTCTTACATGTTTTCTCTTCTTTTCATATGCAATTATTTGTT